CAGGAAACCATCAAATGATACAGCCTGCTGGAAATGTTGATGTGTATACCAGACAGTTGTAGCATGTGTGTGGTGGTTGATTTACTCAAATGGTGTACTCGATTAGCATGAATGAGGCCTGAATGTTTCACATGTCTAGTTACGGGTAACAATCTATATTTGACATTATGCTTATTGGCCAATATAGAGCACCGCATACATTAGAATCATCTGTATTAGACATATATACATCTATTGTACTTTTCATTTAATGAGATTTTATGAGCAGTAGCATTCGGCTGGATTGGACTTGTGGGCCAGGGCAATGCACAGGGCGTCTGGAATGTTATTATCGAGTATGCACCAGCAGCATTAAACTGCATATTGCTAAATGGAGCTTGCCCATATTCCAGTCATATAAGGCAGCTGACAAGCAAGACGGTCATTTCACTACAAACTGTAATCTGGTTAAGGGATCAAGTTAATTAGCATGGTGTAATGTTATATATGCGATTATTTTCTGCCATCATGAGGGATGTTGGTGAATTATTTATTAACCACTTGCTGACCGGGGGGTTTACACCTCCTTCCCATCCAGGCCATTTTTCAGTATTCAGCGCTGCGGTACTTTGACTGACATTTATTCCGTCATGCAGCGCTGTACTGAAATGAATTTTATACCCTTTTTTGGGGACAGATAGAGCTTTCATTTGGTGGTATTTAATCACCACTGGGGGTTTTTATTTTTGACTATTACCCTAAATTTTTGGCAAAATAGAAAAGACGGGGTCACGTCGGGTAAATGGATACCAAACATGTCAAGCTTTAAAAATGTGTGCGCCCGCGAACTCACAAAAACGACCATACCTAAAATTGTCCATAGGCGACACTTTAAAAGCTTTTACCCCTCATCAGTTTAGTGTTATCAGTTATTGATGGCCCTAAAATTATTGCTCTCACTGCGACGTTCGCGGCAATATGTAACATTTGCCGTGTAATGGATGCAATCGTCGTTTCCGCAAGTAGGCGCACTCGGCGCATTTTTGCATGTGGGGTGCGGGGGACTGAAAACATTTTTTTATTACCCTTTTATATGTGACTTTTTAAAAAAAAAATTTAACTAATTTCTTTTAAACCTTTTTAGCTTTATTCCACTTAGCTTTATTGCTATCACATAGGAAACTAACAAGCTTCCTTTGTGATAGTCAATTTTCAGTGTCAGTTCCTCTTTATGGAGACATCAGGGGTCTTTAAGACCCCTAATGTCACCTAGGGACCCCCAGAGAAGCTGATGAAGCAAACACCTGCTTCACCCGCTTCTCTCCGGTTTCTGTACCAGAGAGTGACAGAGGAATGCGGAAGTGATGTAATACACAATTTCCTGCCGTCGCTTATTGCTGTACAGTGTGTGTGTGTGTGTGTTGGGATGTAAAGACACGCCGTCGCTTATTGCGGTACATTGTGTTTGTACTGGGATGTAAAGACACGCCGTCGCTTATTGTGGTACATTGTGTGTGTACTGGGATGTAAAGACACGCCGTCTCTTATTGCTGTAGTGTGTGTGTGTGTACTGGGATGTAAAGACACGCCGTCTCTTATTGCTGTAGTGTGTGTGTGTGTACTGGGATGTAAAGACACGCCGTCTCTTATTGCTGTAGTGTGTGTGTGTGTACTGGGATGTAAAGACACGCCGTCTCTTATTGCTGTAGTGTGTGTGTGTGTACTGGGATGTAAAGACACGCCGTCTCTTATTGCTGTAGTGTGTGTGTGTGTACTGGGATGTAAAGACACGCCGTCTCTTATTGCTGTAGTGTGTGTGTGTGTACTGGGATGTAAAGACACGCCGTCTCTTATTGCTGTAGTGTGTGTGTGTGTACTGGGATGTAAAGACACGCCGTCTCTTATTGCTGTAGTGTGTGTGTGTGTACTGGGATGTAAAGACACGCCGTCTCTTATTGCTGTAGTGTGTGTGTGTGTACTGGGATGTAAAGACACGCCGTCTCTTATTGCTGTAGTGTGTGTGTGTGTACTGGGATGTAAAGACACGCCGTCTCTTATTGCTGTAGTGTGTGTGTGTGTACTGGGATGTAAAGACACGCCGTCTCTTATTGCTGTAGTGTGTGTGTGTGTACTGGGATGTAAAGACACGCCGTCTCTTATTGCTGTAGTGTGTGTGTGTGTACTGGGATGTAAAGACACGCCGTCTCTTATTGCTGTAGTGTGTGTGTGTGTACTGGGATGTAAAGACACGCCGTCTCTTATTGCTGTAGTGTGTGTGTGTGTACTGGGATGTAAAGACACGCCGTCTCTTATTGCTGTAGTGTGTGTGTGTGTACTGGGATGTAAAGACACGCCGTCTCTTATTGCTGTAGTGTGTGTGTGTGTACTGGGATGTAAAGACACGCCGTCTCTTATTGCTGTAGTGTGTGTGTGTGTACTGGGATGTAAAGACACGCCGTCTCTTATTGCTGTAGTGTGTGTGTGTGTACTGGGATGTAAAGACACGCCGTCTCTTATTGCTGTAGTGTGTGTGTGTGTACTGGGATGTAAAGACACGCCGTCTCTTATTGCTGTAGTGTGTGTGTGTGTACTGGGATGTAAAGACACGCCGTCTCTTATTGCTGTAGTGTGTGTGTGTGTACTGGGATGTAAAGACACGCCGTCTCTTATTGCTGTAGTGTGTGTGTGTGTACTGGGATGTAAAGACACGCCGTCTCTTATTGCTGTAGTGTGTGTGTGTGTACTGGGATGTAAAGACACGCCGTCTCTTATTGCTGTAGTGTGTGTGTGTGTACTGGGATGTAAAGACACGCCGTCTCTTATTGCTGTAGTGTGTGTGTGTGTACTGGGATGTAAAGACACGCCGTCTCTTATTGCTGTAGTGTGTGTGTGTGTACTGGGATGTAAAGACACGCCGTCTCTTATTGCTGTAGTGTGTGTGTGTGTACTGGGATGTAAAGACACGCCGTCTCTTATTGCTGTAGTGTGTGTGTGTGTACTGGGATGTAAAGACACGCCGTCTCTTATTGCTGTAGTGTGTGTGTGTGTACTGGGATGTAAAGACACGCCGTCTCTTATTGCTGTAGTGTGTGTGTGTGTACTGGGATGTAAAGACACGCCGTCTCTTATTGCTGTAGTGTGTGTGTGTGTACTGGGATGTAAAGACACGCCGTCTCTTATTGCTGTAGTGTGTGTGTGTGTACTGGGATGTAAAGACACGCCGTCTCTTATTGCTGTAGTGTGTGTGTGTGTACTGGGATGTAAAGACACGCCGTCTCTTATTGCTGTAGTGTGTGTGTGTGTACTGGGATGTAAAGACACGCCGTCTCTTATTGCTGTAGTGTGTGTGTGTGTACTGGGATGTAAAGACACGCCGTCTCTTATTGCTGTAGTGTGTGTGTGTGTACTGGGATGTAAAGACACGCCGTCTCTTATTGCTGTAGTGTGTGTGTGTGTACTGGGATGTAAAGACACGCCGTCTCTTATTGCTGTAGTGTGTGTGTGTGTACTGGGATGTAAAGACACGCCGTCTCTTATTGCTGTAGTGTGTGTGTGTGTACTGGGATGTAAAGACACGCCGTCTCTTATTGCTGTAGTGTGTGTGTGTGTACTGGGATGTAAAGACACGCCGTCTCTTATTGCTGTAGTGTGTGTGTGTGTACTGGGATGTAAAGACACGCCGTCTCTTATTGCTGTAGTGTGTGTGTGTGTACTGGGATGTAAAGACACGCCGTCTCTTATTGCTGTAGTGTGTGTGTGTGTACTGGGATGTAAAGACACGCCGTCTCTTATTGCTGTAGTGTGTGTGTGTGTACTGGGATGTAAAGACACGCCGTCTCTTATTGCTGTAGTGTGTGTGTGTGTACTGGGATGTAAAGACACGCCGTCTCTTATTGCTGTAGTGTGTGTGTGTGTACTGGGATGTAAAGACACGCCGTCGCTTATTGCTGTACAATGTGTGTGTGTGTGTGTGTGTGTGTGTGTGTGTACTGGGATCTAAAGACACGCCGTCTCTTATTGCTCTGTAGTGTGTGTGTTTACTGGGATGTAAAGACGCCGTCGCTTATTGCTGTACAATGTGTGTGTGTGTGTGTGTGTGTGTACTGGGATCTAAAGACACGCCGTCGCTTATTGTGGTACATTGTGTGTGTGTACTGGGATGTAAAGGCATGCCGTCGCTTATTGCTGTAGTGTGTTTACTGGGATGTAAAGACACGCCGTCGCTTATTGCTGTACAGTGTGTGTTTACTGGGATGTAAAGACACGCCGTCGCTTATTGCTGTACAATGTGTGTGTGTGTGTGTGTACTGGGATGTAAAGACACGCCGTCGCTTATTGTGGTACATTGTGTTTGTACTGGGATCTAAAGACACGCCGTCGTTTGTTGCTGTACAGTGTGTGTGTGTGTACTGGGATGTAAAGACATGCTGTCGCTTATTGTGGTACATTGTGTGTTTACTGGGATGTAAAGACACGCCGTCGCTTATTGCTGTACAGTGTGTGTGTGTGTGTGCTGGGATGTAAAGACACGCCGTCTCTTATTGCTGTACAATGTGTGCGTACTGGGAGATAAAGACACGCCGTCTCTTATTGCTGTACAATGTGTGTGTGTGTACTGGGATGTAAAGACACGCCGTCGCTTATTGCTGTACAATGTGTGTGTGTGTACTGGGATGTAAAGACACGCCGTCGCTTGTTGCTGTACAGTGTGTGTGTGTGTGTACTGGGATGTAAAGACACGCCGTCACTTATTGCTGTACAATGTGTGCGTACTGGGATGTAAAGGCACGCCGTCGCTTATTGCTGTACAATGTGTGTGTGTGTGTGTGTGTGTACTGGGATGTAAAGGCACGCCGTCGCTTATTGCTGTTGTGTGTGTGTGTGTGTGTGTGTGTGTGTGTGTGTACTGGGATGTAAAGACATGCCGCCAAATATGTTGGGTATCAACATTGTAGTTGTGGTTTACAGACATTGCTGTATATTTAGAACCCTAATGGGCTCATTCACACGAGTGACTGACTTTAAAGCCCCTCCCCCTGAAAAGCAATCACAGTGGATGGCTTTTCAGAGGGTTGTAGAGCGGTGGCTTCCATCTCCTGCATGCTAGTCGTCCTATTCACCTCAATGGTCACGTTTGGCAGGTGGCACGGGGCTAAATTGTCTTGCTGCAGCAATATGTAGAGCAGACACGCTGAGGAACAGTACAAACACAGATTTAACTGCTTGTGTTTACTGCCCCTTGGTTGCATCTGTGAACCCCATCTAATAGCACTGAGCTGCATACTGCTCTGGGTTTTCAATACTCTCTAGCAGGGGTGATGGAGCACTGATAGTCGGTGTACCTAGAATGCCTGATATAAGCCAACAGCTGCCCCTTGCGATGTAACCATTGTGTGAGATGGATGAGGCTTAGGTCCTGAAATGTACAGCCTCCGTCTTTCCACTTCACAGCTGGTGTCACTGAACTGGATTTCAGGTACTGCTGTGTGGTACTGTGTAGTACTGGACATACACCGAATATCCATTTGTGAGATGTATGTGCTTCTGCCATGATCCATAGAGATAGTTTGGGACATCATTTAGTTTAAAGTGCAACTCCAGCCAAGTTTTAATATATAGAAGGGTTAGAAGTGAGGTCAGATTCTACTGCTATGTGGGAGCCCACTGGGGAGATTTCCCGTCATTCTTGTCCCGGTGACTACCTATTGGGAATAGCAGTAGAAGCCTCTGAACTATGAACCCTTCGTCCTCATTCTTGGCAGAACTAACATTTGGCGGGTATTACACTGTAAAGTAAACTTGTACAGACTGTCATGGTGGAGCTCTCCCTCTGGTATCTTCAGCACCTTGAGTCCAGTGTTGCCTATACCTGTAGAAGGTGTATGTAGACATTTCTATCTCCTGTCCATCACCTAGTATCCAATCCACACATTCTAATCAAATCTTTATTATAAAGAGAATCATCTCAAGCAACAGACATTGGAGTGTAAAAGACAAATGTTATTAGTCATCGGTCTCTCCTCCAGTATGTTTGTACAATAAAAAAGCAATTCCAATCATTAACGTTCTAATAATGGCAAAATATGCAGAATGTATTGTAAGCACAATGAAAGAGAATGGCTATATGGAGCTGAAATCACAGCTATGGGGCCACATGGAACTGAAATCACAGCTATGGGGCCACATGGAGCTGAAATCACAGCGGTAGGTAAGTGTTGTAGGATGATTGTTTTTTTTTTTTTTTTTTTTTAGGGTTTGGATGGAGTGGAAATGTTGTTAGGACTTAAGTCAGGTTTTTATTGCTGTCCACGCTCGCAGGGGACTGGAAGACTGATGCCGGCAAGTATCGAGGACAAGGTTAGACATCAATAAAAACCCAACAAAGGTTCGAATTCTTCTACACTCTATTGAAAACTAAAAAAAAAAGGTTCTAAGCTGGGCTTCTACTTTAAATGCCGGCCTCCTTAGCATAGCTGCCTGTCACCGTTTTGTACCTGTGTGCAGTCTTGTCTTCCAGGCCCTGGTGATGTCACCAGTGTTGTTCTCTTCTGTCCTGTCTTTTACATGCATTTAGGAGCTGAAGACCTCACTAGT